TTTATAAAAAACATGCGTTCTTTTGTGAAAAAACTTTTAAATTTGAAAATTTGTTAAACAAATATTTAAGAATGTATTATTGAAACAGGAGTTTATTTAAACAGGATTTTCTATTTTATATCAAATACATATCCAACTCCAGCACTTAAGTGGCTATTACTGCTTGGTAAATGCTTAATAAAAATGTGAAAAGTGCAATAATTAATCGATTTCTGTCTCGAATTTTAATTTTTTAATCGCCTTAAAAATTTCCAATCGTAAACCTTAGATCCTTAGAAACAAAATTAGACTCATCTAAGATAATATTATCTTTTATGGAACGGCCTAATAAACAAATTTTGCTGGTAAATCATCCAAAAAGCGTTAAAAATATTAAAAAGCAGCAAGGTTTGGAGATCTACTGATGAGAAAATATAAACATTTTATACCATTGAAAACCTAAAGACTTAAGGATTAATATTTGATAGATTAATAGTATATTGGAACTAAGGTGCGAACACCATTAACAAAAAACTGTAAAAATCTTAATAAAGAGATGCGAAAAGACAACTAACTATACAATTATATAATATGCTTCAATAAAACAGAATTAGTTTCTTTAAACACCTCTAACGGAGTAACTGATTGCTCATACGAGCAAATATAAACTTCATTTTAAAAGCTTGACAAACCAGATTACACTTTCAGTTTTAATAAAGAAACCTCCAACTCCTCTAACGTATACATTATGCGTTTTAAATTTATGAGCTAAACCAAAAAATTTAATTAAATTACTTATGCAAATTGCCAACAGGCGTATGAGTGTTAAAAAATTACGTATACGTTAAGGGGGGAGGGTTTATAAATTGTTCATAAATTTACATTTTAGGTGGAATTTTAAAATAAAACTTACGTCAAATAGCATTAAAAATATTCATATATGTATGCACATAAAAAAATCACTAAATATACATTACTTTTACACTAATATGTAAGTGAAAATATATATAAAGGAATAACAATGAGCAAAAGCTAAAACACACACACGCAAACACTTATAAACATCAAATTAAAGAAGAAAACCACCCACATTCGCTCTCACTACTCACCGTTAGGCATGAGTTATAAACAAATCAAACAAACAAACAAACGTGTTCGTAGTTCTATTTGATTTGTTCTAAAACTTTGTTTCCTGATTTTTTCAACATTTTGCCAGGCTCTTCTTGTCTTCTCTTGTATACATAATACTTGCTCTTGGTAAAATAAGAAAACACATGAAAAAACATACTTACACTTGCACACATTTCAATATTTAACCAGAACTCATTCACTAGCATTTACAATTTACTCACTCTTGCTCTCTTTTTTAGCATAAACACTTGAAATGTATGTTTGTGTGGATGTGATGAATGTATGTATGTATGTGTGTGTATGTGCGTATGTTTCATTAAAAGCTTTCTCTAGCTTTTGTTTGTTGGTAATGCTGTAAATCCTGTTATCCTTTACCTTAGGCAATGACAAACAAATTATAAATTAAGATTAAACTAACAAAAAAGAAAACCTACATATTTACAAATGTACCTGACACATATGTACATACTAACAAATATTATTTATATACTAAATTTAAATATGTAGCAGTAACATTTGTTTACATACACACCAAAGAAGAAATATTCAATGCAAACAAATCAACCAAAAAAAACAACAAATAAAAAACAAACAATCATAATTAGTAGAGTCAATATATAAAATGCTAGTGCACCCTGGGTAATTCGCTACTTAAACCGAAATTAAGACTAAAGACTAGAGTATGGACAAAAGTAAAGACTAGACCATAGACTAAACTACAGACTAGACCATAGACTAACTATAGAGTAGACTATAGACTATAGAGTAGACTATAGACCAGACTATAGACTAGACTATAGACTAGACTATAGACTACACTATAGACTAGACTATAGACTACACTATAGACTAGACTATAGACTAGACTATAGACTAGACTATAGACTAGACTATAGACTAGACTATAGACTAGACTATAGACTAGACTATAGACTAGACTATAGACTAGACTATAGACTAGACTATAGACTAGACTATAGACTAGACTATAGACTAGACTATAGACTAGACTATAGACTAGACTATAGACTAGACTATAGACTAGACTATAGACTAGACTATAGACTAGACTATAGACTAGACAATAGACTAGACTATAGACCAGACTATAGACTAGACTATAGACTAGACTATAGACTACACTATAGACTAGACTATAGACTAGACTATAGACTAGACTATAGACTAGACAATAGACTAGACTATAGACTAGACTATAGACTAGACTATAGACTAGACTATAAACTATAGACTAGACTATAGACTAGACTATAGACTAGACTATAGACTAGACTATAGACTAGACTATAGACTAGACTATAGACTAGACTATAGACTAGACTATAGACTAGACTATAGACTAGACTATAGACTAGACTATAGACTAGACTATAGACTAGACTAGAGACTAGACTATAGACTAGACTATAGACTAGACTATAGACTAGACTATAGACTAGACTATAGACTAGACTATAGACTAGACTATAGACTAGACTATAGACTAGACTATAGACTAGACTATAGACTAGACTATAGACTAGACTATAGACTAGACTATAGACTAGACTATAGACTAGACTATAGACTAGACTATAGACTAGACTATAGACTAGACTATAGACTAGACTATAGACTAGACTATAGACTAGACTATAGACTAGACTATAGACTAGACTATAGACTAGACTATAGACTAGACTATAGACTAGACTATAGACTAGACTATAGACTAGACTATAGACTAGACTATAGACTAGACTATAGACTAGACTATAGACTAGACTATAGACTAGACTATAGACTAGACTATAGACTAGACTATAGACTAGACTATAGACTAGACTATAGACTAGACTATAGACTAGACTAGAGACTAGACTAGACTAGACTATAGACTAGACTATAGACTAGACTATAGACTAGACTATAGACTAGACTATAGACTAGACTATAGACTAGACTAGAGACTAGACTATAGACTAGACTATAGACTAGACTATAGACTAGACTATAGACTAGACTATAGACTAGACTATAGACTAGACTATAGACTAGACTATAGACTAGACTATAGACTAGACTATAGACTAGACTATAGACTAGACTATAGACTAGACTATAGACTAGACTATAGACTAGACTATAGACTAGACTATAGACTAGACTATAGACTAGACTATAGACTAGACTATAGACTAGACTATAGACTAGACTATAGACTAGACTATAGACTAGACTATAGACTAGACTATAGACTAGACTATAGACTAGACTATAGACTAGACTATAGACTAGACTATAGACTAGACTATAGACTAGACTATAGACTAGACTATAGACTAGACTATAGACTAGACTATAGACTAGACTATAGACTAGACTATAGACTAGACTATAGACTAGACTATAGACTAGACTATAGACTAGACTATAGACTAGACTATAGACTAGACTATAGACTAGACTATAGACTAGACTATAGACTAGACTATAGACTAGACTATAGACTAGACTATAGACTAGACTATAGACTAGACTATAGACTAGACTATAGACTAGACTATAGACTAGACTATAGACTAGACTATAGACTAGACTATAGACTAGACTATAGACTAGACTATAGACTAGACTATAGACTAGACTATAGACTAGACTATAGACTAGACTATAGACTAGACTATAGACTAGACTATAGACTAGACTATAGACTAGACTATAGACTAGACTATAGACTAGACTATAGACTAGACTATAGACTAGACTATAGACTAGACTATAGACTAGACTATAGACTAGACTATAGACTAGACTATAGACTAGACTATAGACTAGACTAGAGACTAGACTATAGACCAGACTATAGTCTAGACTATAAACTAGACTAGAGACTAGACTATAGACCAGACTATAGCCTAGACTATAGACTAGACTATAGTCTAGACTATAGACTAGACTATAGACTAGACTATAGACTAGACTATAGACTAGACTATAGACTAGACTGTAGACTATACTATAGACTAGACTATAGAATAGACTATACCAGACTATAGACTAGACTAATAGACTAGACTATAGACTAGACTATAGACTAGACTAGAGACTAGACTAGAGACTAGACTATAGACCAGAATATAGACTAGACTATAGACTAGACTATAGACTAGACTATAGACTAGACTATAGACTAGACTATAGACTAGACTATAGACTAGACTATAGACTAGACTATAGACTAGACTATAGACTAGACTATAGGCTAGACTAAACGCTAGACTATAGGCTAGCCTCTAGACTAGACTATGGACTAATAAACAAAATAAACATCTACCTATTCAACAGTTTATCTTTGAAAAAATATATAAAATCTTAAAATTGAATCATTCAGTGCTTTGCTATTAAAAAATATGTTACATAATTTTTCATATATACAAACATAAACACATACAAACAACAATACAAAAACAATATTGAAAATTATAATAATTTAGTTAAAATCCCATCTTGTGCCCACCTAAAAATAAAAATGAACTTTAAAAAATAAATACCAAAAAACTGAATTTAAATAAGAAAAACAGCTAAACAAAAGAACACAACACAAAATAATCGAAAGCAATATAATTTAAAACAATATCAATAAAATATTTTCAAAACTTAACAGGAAAAAAATTAAATAAATATAAAAACAAATAATTTAATTACTTAATGATTTTCAAAAGCTTGAAAAAAATGCTGTTAAATTTAATTACTCGTTAAAAACGTTCATAAATAATAATATTTTAAAAAAATTTAAAATGAAAAAATACTTAAATGTTAATTGATTTTTAAACAAAAAAGTTGCGTTTTTTTGTTACTTCTACGTTTGTTCTGATTTTCTTTGTGTTTTTTTTTTGTGTGGACTAAACAAAACATTTTTCGCTTTTTGAAAAAATTTAAACAAAAGAAATATAATAAATATGTTTATTTATTACAACAACAATAATTATAATAATATTATTAATAATAATTATATGAAAAACATTGTGCTGTCATAGCGGAAGGAGCGTAAATGTTTTTTAAATTTAACGTCAGAGTAAAATGCACGTTAAACCAACCACCCAACGAAGAGTAAGTGGACCTGGAGCATTTGGAACATACACCGACCAATGGTATGTAGAAGAACATTTCGAACATAATAAAAACATTATTATTAACATTGTTACATTTAAATGTTGTTTTTTATACATATAAAAACTTAAGCATATATTTATATTATTAATTTGTTTTTTTTTTTAATTTATTCATTTTTGTAAAAAAAAAACACCAACAACTCTTTCAAATTATTATAACATGATCTGGGATAAAAGTACAAAAAGTTTTAATTCGAATTAATCAGAAAGGTCTGAAGAAATATTTGATTTCTGTATTTCATACTTTCAAAAACAGACAATATACCAGACTATGAACCAGATCATAGGCTAGACTTTAGACTATAGACCAGACTTAACTATAGAACAGAATAGACTATAGACTGGACTATAGACTAGACAAGACTATAGATTAGACAAGACTATAGACTAGACAAGACTATAGACTAGACTATACACTGTAGACTATAGACTATAAACTATAGACTACAGACTATAGACTAGACTATAGACTAGAATACAGACTAGACTATAGACTAGACTATAGACTAGACTATAGACTAGGCTATAGACTAGACTATAGACTAGACTATAGAGTAGACCATAGACTAGGCTATAGACTAGACTATAGACTAGACTACAGAGTAGACCATAGACTAGGCTATAGACTAGACTATAGACTAGACTATAGACTAGACTATAGACTAGACTATAGACTAAACAATAGACTAAACTATAGACTAAACTATAGTCTAGACTATAGACTAGACTATAGACTAGACTACAGACTAGACTATAGACTAGACTATAGACTAGACTATAGACTAGACTATAGACTAGACTATAGACTAGACTATAGACTAGACTATAGACTAGACTATAGACTAGACTATAGACTAGACTATAGACTAGACTATAGACTAGACTATAGACTAGACTATAGACTAGACTATAGACTAGACTATAGACTAGACTATAGACTAGACTATAGACTAGACTATAGACTAGACTATAGACACTAGACTATAGACTAGACTATAGACTAGACTATAGACTAGACTATAGACTAGACTATAGACTAGACTATAGACTAGACTATAGACTAGACTATAGACTAGACTATAGACTAGACTATAGACTAGACTATAGACTAGACTAGACTAGACTATAGACTAGACTATAGACTAGACTATAGACTAGACTATAGACTAGACTATAGACTAGACTATAGACTAGACTATAGACTAGACTATAGACTAGACTATAGACTAGACTATAGACTAGACTATAGACTAGACTATAGACTAGACTATAGACTAGACTATACTAGACTATAGACTAGACTATAGACTAGACTATAGACTAGACTATAGACTAGACTATAGACTAGACTATAGACTAGACTATAGACTAGACTATAGACTAGACTATAGACTAGACTATAGACTAGACTATAGACTAGACTATAGACTAGACTATAGACTAGACTATAGACTAGACTATAGACTAGACTATAGACTAGACTATAGACTAGACTATAGACTAGACTATAGACTAGACTATAGACTAGACTATAGACTAGACTATAGACTAGACTATAGACTAGACTATAGACTAGACTATAGACTAGACTATAGACTAGACTATAGACTAGACTATAGACTAGACTATAGACTAGACTATAGACTAGACTATAGACTAGACTATAGACTAGACTATAGACTAGACTATAGACTAGACTATAGACTAGAATATAGACTAGACTATAGACTAGACTATAGACTAGAATATAGACTAGACTATAGACTAGACTATAGACTAGACTATAACTAGACTATAGACTAGACTATAGACTAGACTATAGACTAGACTATAGACTAGACTATAGACTAGACTATAGACTAGACTATAGACTAGACTATAGACTAGACTATAGACTAGACTAATAGACTAGACTATAGACTAGACGATAGACTAGACTATAGACTAGACTATAGACGAGAACTATAGACTAGACTATAGACTAGACTATAGACTAGACTATAGACTAGACTATAGACTAGACTATAGACTAGACTATAGACTAGACTATAGACTAGACATAGACTAGACTATAGACTAGACTAAGACTAGACTATAGACTAGACTATAGACTAGACGATAGACTAGACTATAGACTAGATTAAAACTAGACTATTGAACTAGACTATAGAGCACATAACACTAGACTATATACTAAACTATGGACTAGACTATGGACTAGACTATGGACTAGACTATGGACCATACTATGGACTAGACTATATACTAGACTACAGACTAGAGTATAGACTAGACTATAGACTAGACTATAGACTACACTATAGACTACGCTATAAACTACACCATAGACTAGACTATAGACTAGACTATAGACTAGACTATATACTAGACTAGACTAGGCTATAGACTAGACTATAGACTAGACTATAGTCTAGTCTATAGACTATAGACTAGACTATAGACTAGACTATAGACTAGACTATAGACTAGACTATAGACTAGACTATAGACTAGACTATAGACTAGACTATAGACTAGACTATAGACTATACTATAGACTAGACTATAGACTAGACTATAGACTAGACTATAGACTAGACTATAGACTAGATTATAGACTAGACTATAGACTAGACTATAGACTAGACTATAGACTAGTCTAGAGACTAGACTATAAATTAGACTATAGACTAGACTATAGATTAGACTATAGATTAAACTATAGACTAGACTATATACTAGACTACAGACTGGTGTTTGGTGTTTTTTTAATTAACTACAAATTAACATAATTATTATTTGTTTTGTTTTAATTTAAACGCAATAAAATCCCCCTTTATAAATTTTATGTTGCTACTTTTTTAAAAATTTCTTGTTCTTTTTAATTTTCTTATTAAGTTTTTGATGGATTTATGTTGTTGTAAGGTTGTTTAATTGTTATAAAACAAACAAAAAAAAAAAAAAAAAAAAAAACAAAATAATAAATACAAAAAAAATTAAATAAATGTTATATTGTTGTTGTTTAACTCAATACCTTAATAGTTATTTTTTTTAATAAATAATAATTTTATTTTTTACTTTATTTGTTTAAAAAACATTACTTGTTATAGTTGAATTAGTATATTTTAGGTGGTAATTTAATAAAATTATAAAAACGTAAAAAAAGAAGAAAAAACTAAATTAAAACTAATAAAAAGAAAATTGTAACACATGTTGTAAAAGATCTACAAAAAACAATTGATTAAAAAAATGTTATTATGTCAAAATGTCGTAGAAAAAAGAAAATGAAAAGGAAACAGTAACTACCGAGTTGTTTTAGCCAATTCCAACTACTACAAATGTTAAATGGCCTCAGTGCCTTACTAAACCCTCCACCTCCCTTTACATATAGTATTTATTAACCCTCAGGGAGCTTTACACAAATATTTTATTTAACACATTTTTGTGTTTTTAAAATATTTAATATAAATATATCACAGGAAATGTATTTTTAGCCATAAGTTGTGTAATGGAGTTAGTTAGTTTTTTAATATTTAATAATGTTAGACATACAAAATACATATTTATATTTATTTAAGTATTTTTTACTCCAACACCTGTTATTATTTAAATGTAATAGATTTTATAGAAAAAATACAATTACAAAAAGAATGTTTTATAGTTTTAGATGAAAAATTAAAAGGGAATTATTTTTATTTAATTTAGAAAACTATTATATCCACAAGTCTCCACGAGTTTATTTATTAAGAGATTTTTACACTTTTGAAAAGTACACATAATTTCCTATACTAGATATAGAGATATAAAATGTTCAATATTTCCTTTCTACGTATCAATATCACAACTTTGTTGATTATTGTCCACATAACGCTAAGGCGGTACTCGGTAGTACGGTTTTAAAAAATATGTGTATGAAAAAAATGCAAAATGTTTAAAACTTTCTTTGAGTTGGCAACAGACTACAGACTTGAATAGATGTAGAATGGAACTACAGACAGGACTGGACTGGACTATATAATCGAATTCAGACTAGTCTAACTATAGACTAGACTATAGACTATACTATAGACCAGACTATAGACTATAACTATAGACCCGAGACTATAGGACTAGACTAAAAAAATTAGACTAGACCTATAGACTAGACTATAGACTAGACTAGAGACTAGACTAATAGACTAGACTATAGACTAGACTATAGACTAGACTATAGACTAGACTATAGACTAGACTATAGACTAGACTATAGACTAGACTATAGACTAGACTATAGACTAGACTATAGACTAGACTATAGACTAGACTATAGACTAGACTATAGACTAGACTATAGACTAGACTAGACTATACTAGACTAGACTATAGACTAGACTATAGACTAGACTATAGACTAGACTATAGACTAGACTATAGACTAGACTATAGACTAGACTATAGACTAGACTATAGACTAGACTATAGACTAGACTATAGACTAGACTATAGACTAGACTATAGACTAGACTATAGACTAGACTATAGACTAGACTATAGACTAGACTATAGACTAGACTAGACTAGACTATAGACTAGACTATAGACTAGACTAGACTATAGACTAGACTAGAAGACTATAGACTAGACTATAGACTAGACTATAGACTAGACTATAGACTAGACTATAGACTAGACTATAGACTAGACTATAGACTAGACTATAGACTAGACTATAGACTAGACTATAGACTAGACTATAGACTAGACTATAGACTAGACTATAGACTAGACTATAGACTAGACTATAGACTAGACTATAGACTAGACTATAGACTAGACTATAGACTAGACTATAGACTAGACTATAGACTAGACTATAGACTAGACTATAGACTAGACTATAGACTAGACTATAGACTAGACTATAGACTAGACTATAGACTAGACTATAGACTAGACTATAGACTAGACTATAGACTAGACTATAGACTAGACTATAGACT